CTGCCAGTCTATTTCTTTTGATTGGTGAATTGAGACCATTAACATTGATGGTTATAACTGAAACGTATTGACTTATCATTGCCATGACTTTTTCTTTTTGTTGGCTTCTCACCCTTTACATTTAATTTCTTGTGCCCGATGGGGTCATTCTGCTGTGCTTCCTGGGGTTGTGATCCTCATTGTCTTTTCCTATGATACTGTCTAAAATTTTTTGCAGTGCTGGATTGGTATTCATAAATTTCGTGAGGTGCTCTTTGTCATGAAAATATCTCATTTCTCCATCCATTTTGAAAGATAGTTTTGCAGGGTACATCAATCTGGGTTGGAGGGTGTTTTCCTTTAGGGCTTGGAATACATCACTCCAAGCTCTTCTGCCCTTTAGAGTTTGGGCTGAGAAGTCTGCTTTGATTTTGTTGGGCTTTCCTTCATTTGTGATTTGTTTGTTTTCTGCAACTGCTTATAGAACTTTGTTTTTCTGTTGGGTTTCTGGAATCTTAGCAATTATATGCCTATGTGTAGATTTTTTTTTTATCAAAGCTATTTGGAGTCCTATATGCCTCACTTATCTTTATGTCAAATTCTTCCCCCCTGTATGGGAAGTTTTCTGCCATCACTTCTGTGAACAGTTTTTGATGTTATCTGCACTCTCTTCTGTTATTTCATTGACTCCAATCAGTCTTATGTTATTCTTCTTTGCATCATCTAGCAGCTGCTGGATTGTTTTCTCATGGTCCCTTTCAATTTTAAAGCAATTTTTCTTTTCCTGCCCCCTAATTGCAATCTTATCTTCTATATCTGAAATTCTGACCTCACATTGGTTCATTCTGCTGTGTAGATTTTCAATGGAGTTTTAAGCTCCTGGAAATCTTTTTGCATCTGTTTTTTGGATTCCATTTGTTTCCTATGTTGGGATTCCATCATATTCCTGAGCTCCTCTCTAGATTTATTAATCATGTCTTGCACTATGATCACAATCTGTGCTGTTATCTGAGAAATTATTTCTGATTTCATTTTTTCCTGATCCTCTTTTGTTGCCAGTTCAGGGAGTCCAGGTAGTTGAGTGTCGGAGTGTTCTTGTCGTTTCCCTTTGGGGTAGCTGTAGGTGATCTGGAATTCTGATTTTGAGACTTTTTAAAGTGTTTTCTCATTTGAATGGGGTCGGGCGGAGAGGTAGGTTTTGCTGCTGTTGTCCACAAAGCTCACCTCCGCAGTGGTTGGTGGGGCTATGCTCCTCTGTGCTGGGGGTGGTGTTAAGGCAGCCTGAAAGGCTCAGCTGCTCACCCTTGGAGGCCTCTGTTCTTCTGTGGATTTTACATTTTAATCCACTCTGCCAGTCTATTTCCTTTGATTGATAAATTTAGGCCATTACCATTGATGGTTATATCTCATATGTATTGACTTATCCTTTTTATGTTATTTTCCTGTTGTTGGCTTTTTTATTTTTTATTTTTCCCCTCTTCCTTTAATTTCTTGGCTTGCCTGATGGATTTGCCCTGTTGGGCCTCATGGCATTGTGACCTTCATTGTCTTTTTCTGGATAGTTTTTAGAATTGTTTAGAGTGCTTGTTTGGTAGTCATGAAGTTTCTCAGGTGTTCTTTGTTTAGGAAGTATCTTATTTCCCCATCAATTTGAAAGATAGTTTTACAGGAATTCATCAGTCTAGGTTGGAGTTTGGTTTTTTGGGGGTTTTGAAATACCTCACTCCTCCTTGACTTGAGGGTGTATGTTGAAAAGTCTGCTGTGATTGTGATGGACTTTCTTTTGTATGTAATTTGTTTCTTTTCTCTAACTACCTGTAGTATTTTGTTCTTCTATTGGTTTTCTGGGATCTTGCTTAGTATATGTCTAGGTGTAGATTTTTTTTTTGATCATGGCTAATTGGAGTCATATATGCTTCACTTATCTGTATATCAAATTCTTTCACTCTGGGAAGTTTTCTGTCATTAATTCTGTGAACAGTTTTTGTATGTCAGTTGAGCTTTCTCTTGATTTTTTGTGGACTCCTATCAGTTTTATATTCTTCTTCTTTGCATTATCTAGGAGCTGCTGGATTGATTTCTCATGGTCCCTTACTATTTTTAAGTGATCTCTTTTCATGGTCACTCACTGCAATCTTGTCTTCTATATCTGATATTCTGTCTTCACATTGGCTTATTCTGCTGCAAATGTCTTCAATTGAGTTTTTAATCTCCTGGATATCTGTTTGAATCTATTTCAGGGATTCCATTTCTTTCCTATGTTGGGTGTTCATGGTTTCCATTTCTTTCCTATGTTGGGCATTCATGGCTTCTATCATTGTTCTGAGCTCATCTATTTTTTTTATCTGTTTCTGTTGTATAGTCTCTAATCATGTCTTTCATTCTGCTCACCATCTTTTTATTTATCTGGGAAATTATTTCTGTTTTGAATTTTTCTAGAGCCTCATTCATCTGTTTTGTTACTTCCTGTGCTATCAGTTCAGGGTTTTCCTGTGCTATCAGTTCAGGGTGTCTAGATGGTTGATTATAAGATTTTTCCACCTTGTTTCCAGAATTTTCCTTTGGTGAGTTGGAAATCTGGGTTTGCACCTTGCTTGGGTGTTTTCTCATTTCTATTTTTGTTGTTGGTATTCTTTCCGATTTAATACCTGGGTTGATACTTCAATATTGCATATTGTAAGTATCTTTGTTGCTTGTATTTAGAACCCTTATGGAATGATTGCTTCTCAGAGGTGTCTTCCAGATATATCTTGTCTTTAGGTTTTGAGTCTCTAATGACGCTTAGGTAATATCATTTTCAGTATAACAGGAAGGACAACTGATTAGATCAATCACAACACCTTAGCCCAAGTGATACAATCTGCAACAACAATAGCATCAAGCACAGTTCAGAAAATCACAATTTGTGGGAGTTATTAATCTATCACCTTTAACCTTTTTTTGATTAAATCAAAATTGAGTACCAGCCCAAAATATGTTTATAGTGAATAAACTCTTCATTATAGCAACTTTAGCCTTCAGGATGGGGACTTAGAAGGAGTTGGGGAGGGAGGGATAGATAGGTAGAAGAATAGGGAAAAGTTATAAGGGAGGCCAGAGGACACAGGAAGATCATGCAAACTCTAGGAAACTGTTAAACACAAGAGGAGCAAATAGAATGAAAGAACAAACACAAGAACAGAACAACCTAACAGCAATAGGGAGGCTAGAAACTGCATTCACTTTCCTTTAAAACTAATGACAATTGAGAGAAGGAAAAAGAGAGAAGAAAAGAAAAAGAAAGAAAAAAGAAATCTGAATTAGGACAGGAACAGAAACAAAAAAGGAGAGAGTTGAAGAGCAAGGTGGGAGAGAGTGGGAGAGCTAGAGAAAGAGTTAGAGAGAGAGAGTAAGAAAAAAAGAAAAAGAAGAAAAGAATTTGGAAAGAGAAGAGAAAAAAACTTTGAAAAAAAAAAAGGGCCTCCTTCAGGGTGTGTTTCTGTTGTCACAATAGACAGTGCGGGAAGCAGTGTGAAGATCTAAATCAATTAGTCTCAGCAAGCCAGCTGCTGTTTCCTGGGATTCAGGCTGATTTCTGGCTGTAAGGCCCAAGTTGAGCTCCCTGACCTCCTGCTGGGTTGGACTCTGCAAGGTTCTACTGCAGATTCCAGCTGCCCTTGCCCTGAAGATAGTTCCGGTTCCGATGAGAGTGGTGATCCCTCCAACTTACCAACTGGGGTGGTCTGCTGTGCCTTTATTGCAGAGATTTTCTTCACTTTTCCAGTGGGCTTCAGTTTTCATCAAGGAGCCTCAGAGAGGCCCTCTTTGTGTTGTTCACTTTTGCTCTATCTTCTGGAGCTCAGAACAATGGCCTTTATGGCCAACCCCCTGTACCTCTGTGGTGTGGATCCAGGTGTGGACGTGGCCCAGCAGTCAGAGGTGTGGGAGGAGGGGCTGCTGGGGCCTGCTTGGCTTGGCTCCTCTGCTCCTCTGCACCCAGGGGGCCGTACTACCGGTGGCCTGTGCAGCTTGCCTCCTCTGCTCTTCTAACATTATCAAATCTTAACATAGGAATGGCTCTAGAAATATCTGGTCCAATCACCTCATTATTATTTTTTAAAATTCTTTTATTGGTACCTTTTAGGTATACAGTACGTTTATATTTATCATTGGGTGCTTATACCTGTACATGATGTATCTTAGTTCTTATTTTTTTCCCCATTACGTGTTCACCTCATTATTAATCCAAATTATTTCTACTTAGGTTGCCTAGTAGGAAATGGAGGAAGCTTTTTTTTTTTTTTTTTTTTTGGTACCGGGGATCAAACTCAGGTCCTTGTGCTTGCAAGGCAGGCAACAGAACCACTGGGTTAAATCCCCGGCCCAGAAGTGGAGGAAGCTTAGAGCCTTCATCTTATTACTCACAGGATTGATTTTCAAATGACTGGGAGAAATTGATAGCACAAACATTATTCTCAATAAATAGGGGAGACTTTTTTTATTCTTTTTTTGTTATTTCAGCTATGTAGTGCAAATAAAAGGTAGTTCTATTTTGTAAAAAGTTATTGTCTTTAATTGGTATTTCCATTTGAATTTTAAATATATAAATATCGTTATATACCAACAATAGGTAGCTTTTGCTTATACTATAAAATAACAGGCAATTTACAAAATGAGACTCTTGAGAGAAACGAAGTTTCTGGCAGCAATTTGTGATGGAGCATGGTACTGGTTCATGCTTTTTTTTTTTCAACACCCGAGTTAAAAGAGAAATGTGATAATAGAATAAAACTTGAGAACCATTGAATACATGTTTCTGAGCACATCCAAACCTTCTGGAAGGAGTAACTGATAGGAATTTAAAGTAACAGAGGAGATAGCAAAGTTAAAATTGAAAACTGAACTATGACTTTGTGCTAATATGCAATTTTACTTCTTTAATATTTTTAAATATATTTGTCTTCTAGTAGAGAATAGTAAAATTTGTTTTCTTGAGTTATTTTTTGCTCATTTGAATAATCATCTCTAGATTTAAATTGTACAGAATATATCAGACTATTCTCTGGTCCCTGGGGTTTGCTTCATTTGGAAACCTGGTATTTTAAACAAAACTTAAACCTTAAAACCTTAAACTTAAAATATTAAAAAAAGCTTGTTTAAAAAAGCTTTGTAATTGATGTAGGACAGAAAATATATTTAATTTACGTAGAAGGTAGCATATTCCAATTAAGACTAAATCTACCATTCATTAGTCCTGTGAGCTTTGGTGTCATTTTATTTCTCTGCAAAATTGGGATGATTGTAATATTATTATTGGGATGTCAGGAAGATTAACACCTTTAATACAAAGACTTCACCATATAACAGATACTTAATTCATTTTACACTGGAGAGCTTAGTACCTAGGGCTAGGAAGTTATCCTAGGGAACTAGGAGGGAGGGAAGGGTAGAAGCACAATTTTGTGCCTACTAACCCTCTAGATCTGGCCCCTTTGGGTTGAAAGCTAAAAGGGCAGGAGTAAGAGCTGAGTCCACTCACACACATTCCCTGAGCTTCTCTAGGAGAGAGCTTGTGTTCTAGAGCCTCAGGGGTGTGGAGTGTATTTGATACAACACTACTCAGTTTTGTTCTCTCAGCATCAGCCCAGCTGAGGCAAAGAGGAGCACTGGCCTGGGGTTCCCAAGACAAAGGGAGACACAGCTTCCGTCACCAACTACAGTGTATCATGAAGGACTCAGAGAGAAGCCCTGAGGCCCAAAGCCAGGATCTGTACAGGGTATCTGCCCATCCACAGGCCAGGGCAACACAGGGGTTTCACAAGCTAGCGAGGAAGTTTTTAATGTTTGATCTTTAAGGATAGGTGTTCCAGTGGGAACTATGGATATAATCAATCATTTTATTGCTTGAATGCACTCAAAATCAATGCAATTTAATCTCTTTAAATATTTAATATTCTCCATTAGTGAGAAGTTTCACCAGCAAACTGAGCACTGATTGCTTTTGTATCATTTCCCATAGACTTGTTATTGTTTCATGTTTAATTCTTGTCAGTACGCAATTTATTACCACTTCAAAATACATCTGCTGGCAACCCACTCAGGACCCCTCCTGGAAATCTGGGAGCTATTTCTCTTTTCCTTACTTCCAATAGACACTCTCGTAACTTCAAGAGAAAATACATCTGTTGACTATTTATAGGCTTGTTTAATATCTGTGCCCCAGCTTGATGACTTCCTGAAGCATTACAGTCTCTTACCAGTGACAAACTTGTTCCCCTAAAGGGTCATCAGAGACAGTAATCTTAACACTATTCAGATTTCTTGTTGTGTAAAATAAATTAAGTAAAATTACTGTTGAATAGATTCAATAAACATATGGCTAAAACAGTTCTCTCTGTCATTTTTCTCCCTTTCACTTAATATTTATGAAGTACCTACTTTGGGCTGAGGCAATATTGAGTTGAAGCAGATAGTCTTACCAGCTCCACTGTGAAATCATTATGGTATCACCATCCTTTCTCTAGAGCTGCATAATCACAGAGAACTTATAGGCAATCTCTGGTCTCTGTAAGAGACAATTGGTCAGGTCCTTCCACTGTACATCAAAAGGCAAACTGATGGAGGTTTCAAAAGATAAGATGGAGACAGCTTTCTCACATAGCTTGCTAGAAATGACAGCCATTGGAAATTCTAAATATTAACAACAATAAAAGCCAAAACTAAGTAAAGAGAGAAATCTGACAAAAGGCTGAATAAGCATTTCAGTGCAAAACACAATCCATCAGGGTCAATTAGGCTTTAAACAAGGAATCAAATGCCTCTTTGCCCACAATAAGGGTATTATTGATTAGGATCATCTACTCGACACCTTGAACTGCACATTCCAGCCTCCTCTATAAATATATTTAAAAGGTACACAGGAATTTAAGAACATTTTTATGAAACTAGAATTCAAAGTTATTTAGCTCCAGGATCATTAAGCCAATGGAGCAAAGCAATGATAAAAGATGAAGAAAACTTTTCAGACTTGAATTCATACCCATTGAACTTGTTACAATTTGACCACTCAACAAAATCCAAAATCAGGAGTAAACTGAATGATGAATTTATTGGAAACTAGGGAATTTTTCCCTCTGAAGTTCTGCTAGAGACCTAAAGAATATTGATGGAGCCTTTCACATTTCAGTTTTGTTTTCATCTGGTCACAAGCTGTAATGCTCACTAGGGAGATTAAATGTTGAGAGTAGCTACAGCAATGAAAAAGGATTAGCAAAACACTAGCTAACATTAATACAATCTACCACTTTTTGAGTTTTTCATATATGTTGCAGACTCTTCAGAATCTTCTTTAATTTTCACTCAACCATTTACAAATATTTAATGGGCCAGCAACAGACTTAGCCCATTGAGACCAATAAAAGAAAATAGAATCCATGGTCTCTGGGTTCAGTATGGCTACAGATGAAAGTGCACCACAAAAATCTGCTGCAACCACAAGGCAAGGTCAGGTGGCTGCCCCTGTAAAGAAGCAATAATAGGATTGAAGGAAAAAGTGTTACTGAGACTCTATGGAGTAGTCTAATAGATGGGGCAGAAGGCATGGAAAAGAAAAAGTGTAGAGAGACCTGGGTGTGGAATATTTTTACAGGGTGAGACATTTAAAAAGCTTATACTTTTGAGAATAAATTCAATATAAAAATAACACAGCACCTCCATCCTTGACACCCTTCTTCAAGATTATCTTTCCCAAAAGTGTAAGCCTCCAATTACACTAATTTTCAAGTTTTAGAAACTACATTTTCTTTTAAATGAAAGTAATTTGTCATTTTTCCTCATGAGAAAAAAGTCTTATGACAGAGACTTGGGAGGATCTTAGCTTGGAGCCTTGGAGGCAAGCACATGGGTGCCAAGAGATGCTCTCAAATACTTATTCTAAGAATGGCTTTTAATTACTTATTCTTCATACTACATGAAAAGTAAAGTAAAACAAAGGCATTTGCTTTTAGCTTGAATTATTTAGACTATTGCCCAAACTGTCCTTTGGGTGCCAAGGTGCTCTCACTGATGCAGTTATGTCATGTAACAGGACTCAGAGACTTGTCTGCATTCTATCAAACATTTCAAAGTAGCAAAATTTTTAGCATGTGTATTCCACGATTTTAATTTTAAATATTAGAAAGTTATTTAAATTTTACCTCAAACTGAAGATTTTTTTCTAAGTTGTAAAGTATGATCTCTACGTATTGCTGCATAATAAATCTCATACATATACTGTAAGTGCTATGAAGGACCTATCAATAAACTGTGCACATTTAAAGATAAAATGAAAATCTTTTATGATTCTAAACTAGTGATAAATTAGCACAATATGAGTTGACTGATTTGTAACAAAAAGCTATGTTGACTCTTGTTACCTGAGAAGAAGAATGTTACATTAGAACACTAACTCCCGGCAACTAAGCTTTTCTTTATAGAGTAATGTAACTTACACTGATGGATGAGGAAGTAGAAGCAAACAGAGGAACATGTGAACCCAAACTCCCGTTACTGTTATTTGTCTATTCGTGAAGAATAACTTCAAGTATTTCTGATCACTCACTTGTTGAATCTCATCATATTCCTCTGAAGTAGAAATAGGACAATTCTTAGAGGTGGAAAATAGATAAATCATAAATAGTCGTTGGGTATCAAGGAATATGAAACGTCTAATTTTAATCATATTTACTGCCCCATTTACATTCTTTGCCTGACTCTAAAAAGCTGTGTGTAATCTAAAATGTCCAGAAATTTAAATGAGTTTTTGATATGGATTCTCCACTTTATTATAGCAAATGGCTGAAACTAATGTGATAATATAGCAGGTGATACATGCTCTTTTCATTTCAAGCATTGCTTCTGATATACATTATGGAAAAGGCATTCATAACGTTTTCATAAAAAAGGAATCTCTATCTTATTAGAAGTGAATGAAATTACCGGATCCACAGTCAAACCGCATGACAGGAAAAATGTAGAGTGCATT